GCACATATAGGACAGCAGGCGTCAGGCCAGGGCATGGAGTCCCCCCCGGACCACTCGGAGCGCAGAGCCGCTAACCGGGTCCTGGCCCGCTCTCTGGGTGCTGCGTGCTGCCTCTCGACCCCGCACAGGGCCCACTCCTGGGGCCGGGCATACATGCTGCGCATCGCGGCCACGGATGGAAGAGACGCCGCTCAAGGTTCCGCGCATCCCTTTTGAAACCAGCTGAGACCGAGAACCTGCTGTCCGTGGCCACCTCCCCCTAACTTAACCACTTGCTGATTCACACCCGCCTTCCCCTTCTGGGGAAGTCACAGTTTTCGTCTCCCCCCGCTCTCCTTTCCCTCCTTCCTCCACTGTCATTTCTTCATCCTCCCTCCTGTACATCGGGATGGCTGAAAACTTGGTCTGTGTGATCTCAAACAGCCTCCCCGCCCTCTAATTGAGACAAAGGGGGGTACCTGCCTGACCTGCCTGGCACAGGGCCAGGTGGGAACCAGTAGGGACCCAACAAATGACAGCTGTCGTGACCAAATATCTCCCTCCCCAACCCCCATAGGTTTAAAAAAAAAAAAATCCGTATTGGCCCAAATCAACACAAAACCTTTACTCTTCTTCCCAGCTCTCCTGGCTGGGATACACTAACTGGGTAACTGCCCCCTTTAAAGATGCTTTGTTTCATGCTGTGAAAACACAGGTCATCTTCTCCCCGGGGGCGTCTCAGGAAGGAAATCAGACCTTAGCACTTGAGAACAATAAAGAAATACATTGTGCGTGTCAAAACATTCCGTCTCCCAAATAGCTGGTCGGCTAAGTAACACAACCTCCTGAGTCGCACGACAGGAACAAAATCACCCACGGAAGTAAGTGAGTATCACTCCCGAGCCTCCCAGCGCACAGAGCGGAAGGGAAGACAAGTTGCATTATTCTCAACAATGACTGAAAGCATCACTTCTAAATGACACGCTGCTAAAGAGGTGCCCGCCGGTTGGCTGCTCACGTAAATGACACTCCCGCGCCAACTACTACTTTTAAACATAGTTTCCGCTTTTAGAATTTAAGAAAATTCCTCTCTCTGACACACGGTTGCAAATGGCATCTTTGCAATCCTGGACCTACGAAGGTCCAGGCAAGGGGCTGGGGTCCAACCAAGCGGAAAGGAAAGGGGAGAGCTGCCCACCACAGGGGGTGTGCGTTCACCTGGAAGCCTCCAAGAGGCTCCAGCACAGCGTGGTGGGATGAGAGCAGGCCCGGGAGCTGGGGATCGGCGACCTGAACGGACTTTCCACTTTCCAGCTGTGCGACCTTGGGCAAGTCAGCCAACTGCTCAGAGCCTCAATGTCCACATCTATAAAAGGAGACTCCTCGCCACCAACCCACCCCCTCCAGCACTATTCTTGCCATATTGTCCTTCCCAGCTCGAGGTTTATTTGAAAAGCCGCTACAGGCCTTTCTGTCTGCTCCCCTCCTGCGAGGGCTGGGACTAGGCCTGTCTTATCACTGTACCATCCCCAGATGCTCCACCAGGGCATCTATTTGGTCAATGAAATTATACGAAAAGTTTGAGCACAGAGTCTCTTTCCACGTGATGGGAATTCATCAAGTAGCTACCCAATGAGCGCACGACCCACGAGCATGTGAAGGAGCCTGGCACGTGGCCACAGGCACGTGGGCACCCACCAATTCTTAGTCCCTGAGCCCCTGGGGATGTGATCCACATGTCCTATCATGTGCCACATCTCCCTGACCGTGGGACACTCCTCCCATTAAACAGACACAGGGCCAGATGTCAAGCCTCAAGCCCCCCCGGCGCTGCACCCACCCCACCCTTTTACTCCACTTCTAACATTTGAGCCCCCACGTGAATATCCACGCTTGAGAATTCTCTTGAAAATTTACAAGACCTGCAAGTCTGTTTTTCTCCAACTGGCTGAGGCTGACTCAGAGTTGCCCCGTATAGGTGGGGCATGGGTTCACCTATTCAGGGTAGCTCCAGAATCTCCCTCCCCTCCCTCTCTCCCTATGCTTGCAAGGGCGATTTTCCAGCTGGGCCTTAGATGGCCTTGGACAACCACAGTCTAATCACAAGCCAGTACTAATCTAAAGCTTCTGACAGTGCAGGTTCAAAGGGCCTGAGGTTCCCGTGGCCCAACTGGTTAATCTGGAGTTTCTTTAATGCTCTTCTCCAAACGCCAAATAAGCACAATCCACTTCCCAACCTCTCCTGCAAACGTTGCCTCTTCCAGATGCAGAGATTAATCTTCTCTCTTTTTGGCATTGGAAAACCGAATGCCTCTCCTCTCCTGGCCAGGGCCAGCAGCAACAGAGGAGAGAAAGGTACAGAAAGCAGCCCACAGAGACACCACGGTGACAGTGCTGGGATCCGTGGCCAAGACCGCAGTTCAGGCGTCACAAGCTCCAGTCATCAAAGAAAAGCAAGGCCTAGGTGTAACCCACTCTGGACAGACCTGACCCCCTCCCACACACACCCCCCCATATCCTAGGTGAATTAATGCTGCTTGCTTCAGCCACAAGCTAGCTCACTGCAGTCATGCAATGATCCGAAGAGAAAAGACAGACATTGTTGAATTTCCTTCCCAGGCCCCTAGAGACGGTTCTCCTGGGGAGCTAGACCTTGAAGGGATGGCCAGACCTGAAGCTCCACTTCTGGATCAAATTATACACTGAGACGGAGACCATGGCAAGCGGCCTCACCTTGCTGGCTCACGCTCCCCATCCAGGAAGAAGCAAGAAGAACATTTTCCTGCCAATCTTCCAGGAGTATTGTAGAGAAAAACTTATTTGATAAAACTACCTAATTAAAAGATATTTTTTATTCACATGCTATTTTAAGCAAAATCATGCATGACTTGTACACATTTAGGTACCAATTAAAACATCCTGATTCAACATGCAGTTTGTAAAATTAATAAGTACCACGTTCTATAAGGGAGGATTCCTTATTCTGCAAGGGGTGGGCGGGAAAGCTCGGAGGGAGAGCCGTGTGGGAAGGTCCTAGAGGAACTTCCGGCAAATCTCCAGACCTCAGTTTCCTCCTGGGCCCCGCAGGGGGTGCAGATGCCCTCCAGGTGGCTTTCTGCTCCGTCGCTGGGTGGCTGCCCTCACAGCAACCGCGGCTGATAAAGAGGGGCTGGGGGCACTACCAAGGAGCCTAGAACCAGAGCCCCCTGCTCAATTTCACTGAACGGTGTGCCAAATCCCTTCACGGGGCGTCCTGGGGCTTCCTGAGAATACAACTTCATTCCCCAAACTCCGTGCCATTAACTCACCCAACGTAGGCGGGGAACGGGAAAATGCCCCCCGGCGCCCTGGAGCTAGCCTCAGCCCCAGCCTTGCCGCCTGCTTCTCGAACCTCCCTACGCGAGGCGCATACGTCCAGCCGCCAGCAGCCGGCAACCGAGCCCCAGCCTTCAGTGTCTCCGCCGGCCTCTCCAGCCGCGAGGGCCGAGCCAGGGCGCGGGGCGGGCGGGCAACGTGGGCACCAGGGCCGCGACGGGGCGGCCAAGCAGCGGCGCCCAGGACCCAGGCGCCTCCGAAACCTAAACACACACGCACACACGCGCGCGCACGCCGGCCAATCCATTCGCCCGGAGGAGTCGGAAGGCGCTTTCACAGCTCTTCATTCATTCCCCAAAGGCGAGGTTCCCTTCACCCGGGCGCCTCCATCCCGCCATCCCAGGGGGCTCCAAGAGGGCCAATTGCGCCACGCGTCCTCTCCACCTGCACACACCCCGACACCCTCGCGCTCCAGCACGATCGCCAGCGTCGCCCCCGCACGGGGGCGGCTGCCTCCCCGGCTCCCCACAGCTTCGCCGCCCCGCAGCCCCTGCTCCCCGCCGCCGCCGTCGCCGCCGCGCCGCTCAGACCTGCCGCGCGCCGCTCGCCGCGCCCAGCCAGCCGGGGACGCCACCGCCGAGAAGCGCCGGCAACTCCCGAGTCCCGCCGCCTCTGGAGCCACGGCCGGCAGCCGGGAGGGAGCAGGGGGCGGAGGGCCGAGAGGAAGGAGGAGGGGGCGGGGAGCAAAAGTTCAGGCTCCTCCGGGCCCGGCCGCGCCCCCGTCTCCTCCCACGCCCGCCCCCGCGGTGTCCCCTCCCGGAACCGGGTCCCAGAGGCGTCGGTGCCTGCCCCCGCCCCGCCCCCCGCCTCCTCCACCCAAAGCGGCCGCGGGACCGGAGCGGGAGGAGACCGGAGGTGGCTCCCAGCCGGAGTCGGAGAGAGAGAGAGACGGATGCCCGCTTACCTGCCCGGGGCTGCTCCTGGAAACTTCCCCGAAGTGCGCGGGGAAGCAAAGCATCTGGCTGGGGGAATTCCCGCCCTCCCCAAACCCCCAAGGCGCGCTCACACGGTGAAAGCACCGGTGTGTCTGTCCGTCCGTCCGTCCTCCGCCTGCAGCTTCCAGAGCGGGGCGGCACGGGGGCGCCCCGATTCCGACTCCTGGGGCCATTTCTTCTGGGCAGCCGGCCCGTGCGTGCCCCGCGGCGTGCGCCCCCCGCCGGCCTCCGGCTGTCCGCAGCGCCACCACCCCTTCTCCTGGTCCCCTGTCCCCGAGATCCCGCTGCATTCTCTCGAGCCAGGGAGGGAGCATGCGAGCCCCGGCGCCGCTGACGGGCAGCCCTTCTCGCGGGGTCCTCGGCGCGCGCGGCGCCCGGAGGTGGCCGGGACCGGTGGCGAGGGGCCGCCCCCGCTGGTGTCCGCGGGGGCCTCGGGGAGGCTGGGCCGAGGGACGCGGAGCTCAAACCTGCCTCGGCTCGGCGCGCTCGCAAGTTCATTGTCTGCCTGGGCCGCCGCCGCCGCCACAGAGCCGGGAGCGCCGCGGGGAGTGAGGCTGTGCGCAGCCTCCGCCGGCCCGGACTCCCTACGCCCAGCCCCGCCGCTGCCCGCGCTGCCCGGCCGGAACGCGGAGGGGCGCCGGAGCCCCGAGCCAGACCTCCAGCCGCCGCTCCTCGCCGCCCCCACCCCCGCGCCTGGCACCCAACTTGTACCTGAGAAGCCCGAGTCCAACCCCGGAGCCTCTGCGGCTCCGGCTCCGCGGGAGCGCGCCCAGCCCCGCGCCTCAAGCCCCGCATCCAGGGCGCGTCAACCTGACTCCCCGAGCGCAGGGAGGAAAAGTTTGGGAGTGACATGCAGATGGCGAATGAAACCTCCGAAGAGAACCCCCCCCGCCCCATGTCGCGCTGACACACATCAGCTCGAGTCTGGAATGTGAGATCAAGGCGTGTGCGCCGCGCGGTGGGTTTGGTCCCCGCCCCCTCCCCTTCCAAGTAAACAAGGTTTGTGTGATGCGGTGATTCTAAATAGAAAGCAAACCGAAACCCCTAAAGTCTGCCAGTGACGCTCTGCCGGAGACATTTTTAACGAACTTGGCGGTCTGCAGCCAGCCCATACATTGATATGCAAGGCCACGGCGCTGGTGGGTTCTGCGATCTCTGTTTTGTTTTTGCAGCCCGCGAAGGCTCTGCCCGGCTCTTTGGCCCGGCCTGTTTGCTTCTGCCGGGAGGGGAAGGCTCCGCGGGACCCGGGGCCCTGCCGCAGTGGCCCGGAGGCGCCCGCTCCAGAAAACCACCTGGGCTGTCCGAGGCCAAGGAAATGACACCAGTGGTCGACTCCCTGCCTCTTGACCAGAGATGCCATCAGTTAAAGAAAAGACACTGGATTTTGGAAGACTCAGCTCAAGGGGCGCTTGGAGCACCAAGCCCAGCCTCTCAGGAAATGCGTCCAAGGGACAGGAAAAAAAAAAAAAAATCTTTGTCTTCAATCACACAGCCTTTTGCCTGCCCATGTCCCCCATGGCCACGGTCCAGCATCCTCGTGCTCAGAGCAGCCAGAAGTGAAGCTGAAAATGTTTCCTAAGTGCTGCAGAGTGGTGGCCTTCGGCAGAGGGGGGCTTCCTGAGCCTGCCTTTCCCCTCTTTCCTCTGGTTCTGAAAATCCGACCTATAGACCTATATTGCCGGAGGCTTCATCACACCCCCCAGAAACTATAGCCTGCCCTGAGGTCATAAACTTCTGTTCAGCGTCCATGGCAGCTAATGCAGAGGTCACAATCAGAGGATTATAACTGCAGATGGGAAGCTGGACGAGACGGGGGTTCTTCAAAACTGTGTCTTGTTTTCCTGCAAATAAATGCCCCTTACATAAAATCTACGAAGAGAGACTGATGCAAGAGACCAGCCTCAGAATCTCAGACGGCATTGCTCTTTCCATATAGACTCCACTTGGTGACTTGTGTTCATTATTATTTTTTTAAACAAAAACCTTTTTCTGAAAATACAATGAGCTGCTTTTTGCAGGGTTCACAATTCCCAATAGATGATGATGCCATTTTTCAAGGTCTTATACATGTTGTGGCTTTGTGGCTTATTTATGAGCTCCCAAGAAAAGCCTGCCTTTCAGTGAAGTTTATATACTCAAGTAATTGCATCAGGGGACACAGTGCAGGGTGCTATTAAAGAGGGTTAGTTGTACAGGGAGGCCCTGGGCCAGGCAGCTGTCAGACCAGAATGTGCAATGGGCTTAAACAAACACAGGGAAGGTTCTATGGAAACACGGAGGAGGAAATCCCCTCCTGTAAGGCTGTGTGGAACATTATTCCACGGCCACACATACCTCGATCTTTCCTCTCCTCCCTCCAAGTAAACACATGACCCTGTTATGGAGATGGCGCTGGGCCCACCCGGATCACTTTCAAATTCAGGTGTCAGAAATCATGGCTGACACGGAGCAAATTGTTTTTAAGTAAAATCACGGTACCACTTTGATACTAATTCCACCAGGGACTTTCCAAAGGTATTTATACACGTGCCTGAGATTAACTGGAGGGCAATTTTCGCCCTTAACGTTCATTTCACAAAATTGCCCAAGAATTGCACTTCACCTGTTATTCTGCAGGGTTGAGAGAACACCCAAATGCCAGATGTGTGTGAATGAGCAGATGGATAGACGGTTGCATGCGTGAGAGAGGTTGGGGCCCACATGATACCGGCAGCTAATGGGTGGAAAAATGAAGATCATTTAAGAAAACAAATATCCCCTCCCCCATGTGTTCACCCCTCCATAATCCTGGAGTTAAATTGCCCTGGTTCAAACCATACCTCATCTGACACCCAACTAGCACTCGGAGTGCCTGTCACTTTCCGTGCCTCAGTTGGGACTGATGATAGCACCTACTAGTGGTCAGTCGAATTACTGATCCCAAGGGGGTATCAGACTTCTACACCCTTGTCACAGCCTCAAAGAGCATGCAGTATTTTTCCCCATTCCTTGATTTCGGACTCGGCCATATGCCTTGCTTTAGACAATGAGATTTTAGAGAATGTTACTGAATGAGAAGATTGAAACATGGTGCGGGGCTGGGCTTGCTCTCTTGTGCTCTGGTGGCTCACAATGAGAAGATATCACAAGAAGCCGCAGCCTCTTGCCTCACAGCTCCAGAGCGAACACACAGGGAGCAGACCTGAACTCACCCCACCTACAGCCGGACGCCGCACTGGCTCAGCCAACCTACACACACACGAGCAAGGGGGGGAATGCCCGTTGTAAGCCACTGAATGCCAGAGGTTGTTACGTAGCTGACTGATACATTCCCTCGGTGGGCTTGTGTGAAGATTCATGACAAAATGTTTGTAAAACACGAAGCACAATTCTTGGGACATCGTAAGAGCTCGGAAATATTCGCTGTGATTAGCCATCAGCATTATTGAAAGCTAATTTTGTGCGTAACAATCACATAATAACTTTTTTAACTGATAAATTGAATCAGTGAACAAGTATTGCTCGAATAAAGATTTTATACACAAGACAGTGCAAGGGCATCAGGAACTGGAAGGCCAGGGACCTGCCATGGTGACCAAGTCACATTCATTCACTCCCTCATCCATTCAGCAGTCATCCCGTGAACACCTGCTCTTTGCCACACACTGGAGTGAGTGCTGGAGCCACTAAGATGGCCAAGTCTCCATCCCCTCCTTGGGATGGGGACCTACGGAGCCCCACCATGTGATAAGCGCTCTGCTAAGCACATTCCCAGGCTGTATCATTTGACCCTCACAACAGCCTCGTGAGCCAAATGTGAGCCAACATTACTTATCCTCTTTTCTCAGACAAGGAGACAGAGGTTCAGAAACCAAACAACATAGGAAAAGGACCAAAATCTCCTCCACCGTTCGTGTGAGCTAACGCCGATGAATTCAAGTTAATGGAAGGCACACCTGATGGGAAAGTGAAGTGAGAACCAAGGAGAGGGGTGAATACAGCTTGGGCCAGTCTCCATGCCAGGGATGTGCTAAGCACTTGGGAAATACTGAGGCTCAGAAGACCCAGCTCCTGCTCCTGCCACCAGCTGTCTGTGGGACCTGGACCCCTCTCTGGCCTTCAGTGTCTCCAACTGGAGAGAGAAGGACCTTGAAAACTACAGCCTGGCATTTTCCAGAGCTATGAATTCTAAAGGAATTGCTGTGGGAAGTCCCTTGTCCGGGGACTAAGGGATGAGAATCACAGTTCTGGGAACTGGCCCAGTGATTTGAAAGTGGGAATAGCGGGCTACTCGGGAGGAAAGGAGACAAGGCCAGGCCTTGAGCACTGCTCACGTTAGGCCCCAGCTCAACAACAGCAACCTTGCCATTGATCATTCCACCGTTAGAGCACTGAAGACCGGAGCATGTGGGGTCTTCCAAGTGCGTCCTCCTAGAATGCAAAAGCCCCTGAAAGAGAAACCATTTTCGATGCCTGAGGCCCTAGTTATCAGCTAATGCCTCCTTTTTCAATTAGCACTTTAGCAGAGACGGGGATGAAGTTTCAATTCACTTTCACCTTGTTCCCACATTTGAGGTGGTTTCCAAGGGGACTGCAGGGGTGGAGGGCTGCTGGGAGTTGCCTCATATCTTCATATCAGTGAGATCATATGATACATGTCTTTGTATGGGGGGAGGGGCTGCACCTGGGTGTGAGGGGCCCGTGGGGACCAGTGCACAGATTCTCGAATGTGTTTCAGGGGCTCTGCCACCAGCAACGACCTGCCTCCAGCCCTGTGACTTTGACAAATTTAGCCTGCTCGGTAACCTGAAGTGCATTTCAATTTCATAAATTTAGAAATGCTCTGGTTAGATCCCTTCTGCAGTAATGCATCCATTAAGTGCACTTTATGCCAATTTTGGTATGCTAATCCATCACAAATCGACATGAAATTTAGGTTCTTGTGAAAATTTCCTACACCCGAAACCTCTACTGGATTTAGGGTAATAACAAATTGTGGTTCCTTAAAGCTGCAGACTTAGGTCTGCATCGAAACTTGCCTGAAGAGAGGAACAGGGCCAGTTTGAAACAAACATCAGAACCTGTGTATGCACCTGAGAGCTGCCCACTTCCCCCCTCCCCCCCCCGGGGGGGCATCTCCCTTAGTCCTTTAGCTGCCACAGCCCGTAGGCATTACAGCTCTGTCTCAGAGTTCCCACCTGAGAAGTCTTCTCTGAAGGGCTGTAAGTCCTGGGAGGGCAGGAACGAGGTCCTGTGCGTGTCGGCATTTCCAGCCCCCAGCTCAGAGCCTGGCCTGCAGACACATCCAGCAAATATCTGGTGAATGACCCAGCTGGAATCTCCTGGCTTGATTAGTGCCTTGTCCCCCAGATTTAACTCCCTATGATTTTCCCTATTTCCTAGAATCAGATGTCTTCCCCACCAATGAAGGCTGGAGATCCTAAAAGCACAGGCAGAAACCTCTGGAGGGAAATCAGCTGAGGACCCCAGGTGATTGGAGCGACGACAGCACCATGGGAAGAACCTCTTTATTCTGCGGTATCTGAGGCCAGGAGTGAATGTAGGGCCAGTAATTGGCGATACAAAGAACGTGCGCGTCATGAAAGAGACATAATGTCATTGCCATCACCTCCTGAGACTCTGTTGCTACCAATTGTTGAAGGGCAGTGCCTATTAACTAGGTGTTTTTAGCTGCATAATAGACGTTTTGCCAATAAGGTGAAAGTTTATAGCCCGTAGCATTTTCACTTGCTTCTGTCATAAGATCTACAATCCACCCAACAGCAAAAATGAGCTGTTGATTTGGTACATTTAGAGAAGCATTGCCTGCCCTAGATGTGAAATACCTGAGCCTTCTAAATAAATTTCATTTTACTGGCTGA